GATATATAATACATACCTAGTAAGGTTAAGCACTTTTGAGATTGCCAGGTGAGCCTTCTGATCCTGTTAAAGGAGCATCAACATTGAGCTTTGTTGTCTTGATCATTTATAATCAATGGCGTAGTAGACTACGAATGTAATTAGCTGAGAAAAGGTACCTTTAGNAACAAAGGAATGTGCCAAATGTTGGGAACATCATAAAGAGTGAAGATATAGTCAAGCTGAAACAAGAAACATAAGCTGGTTAAGTAAAAGCTGATTTCAAAGTTAATAACATAACAACAAGGGACAAAAAGGCTGCATCTTACCGGGACATGGCAAAATTGAGCTAGTTTTTCTTTCACATTCTCTTCAAGTGGCTAATGAAGAAAAAAGTTAAGACTTTAATATCATAACAAGAAGATTTAAAGCTAAGATGGAGATGCAAGCAAAAACGAACCTTTGTGCTCCGACAAGCTAAGAAATCCGGTGTCAAACCCAAGCCTCGTAGCCCTTTGACACTATGCTGTGTCGGTTTAGTTTTCTGAAAGTACACAAACAAAGCGTAAATGAAGGTAATGTAGAGACATATAGAATCAAATACTGTCACATCATTTCAAGGAAAAAAAGTTATAAACCTGTTCACCAACAACATTAAGCACAGGCACGAGGCTGACGTGGACCAGACAGAAATTCCCTGGTCCTGGAAAACTCAACCAACCAACCAAAGATGCACTTAGTTAATTTCATCATATCCAGCAAAATTCCACACACCTTTCCATTTTCTTTTGGATTCAAAAACGATACTTACCTACACGGTAAGAGAATTGGCCAAGCGCTTCGATAAAAGGCGCAGATTCAATATCACCTGCAAACATAAAAGAAACCTCTGTTTACACATAAGAAGCAAAATCCGGAAACAACAAAAACATAATCCAAATTTTTTTTTATCTAACCTATAGTTCCGCCTAATTCGATAACACAAACATCAGCAGGATCATCCTCTCCATCAACAGGAATAACCGCGACTCTTTCGATCCATTCTTGAATTGCATCAGTAATATGAGGAACAACCTAAATCATTATTACAATCAGTCAAAACACTTTAACAGAGTTTACAAAAAAAACATGAAATGAGAAAGAGATAAGTGAGAAAGATTGTTTATTACCTGAACAGTCTTTCCCAAATAATCTCCTTTCCTCTCTTTAGCAATAACATGCTATTGACAAAGACCAAAAAACAAGATTTTAATAAAACCAAAACTGATCAATCAAACCTTAAATTAGTTGAGATCTATTAGATCTTACCTGGTAAATTTTACCAGTAGTTATGTTATTGTCTCTTGTTAATTTGATATCTAAAAACCTCTCGTAGTTTCCAAGATCAAGATCCACCTTTTTCCCCAAATCACATATAAAAAAAAAAGTCCTCAAAAGGTTGAAATCTTTTACGTTTTTAAAAAGAAACGAAAAAGAAGTCATTTTTATTTACCTCACCACCATCGTCCAAGACAAACACTTCACCATGTTCAAATGGAGACATGGTTCCAGCATCAGTGTTTAGATAAGGATCTGAAGAAGATTGAGTGGTCCGTAAGCAAAAAAAAACATCATTTTGACTCAACCAAAAGAGAGAGAAGAGTAGTAAAAGTACCGATTTTGATTGAAGTAACACGAAGACCACAAGCTTTAAGAAGAACACCAATACTACTTGCTGTTACTCCTTTACCTAATCCACTCACAACACCACCTGTTACAAGCACGTACTTCATCTTCTTCCCTTCTTCTAAACTTGTTCTGCTTTTTTCTAAGTCAAGCACAAAGAAATCACCAAAAAGGAGACAAAACCAAATCAGTCAAACAAGAATAGCTTTTGAAATGCTTTAGAGAAAATCTGGGATTTTTTTTGTAGATTTTTTAACATCTCTCCTTCGTTCAGAAAACAACACAATCGCGGAAACAGAACACAGAGGATAATCCAAAAAGTAAACAGATTAGAACAAAAAGCTCCTACATTTTCATCTGAATCAAACCCAGGAAGCAGAAAAAAACAGAGACCCAAAAACAACACAGAAGATTCAGGACCAGAGAGTGAAAGAGAGAGAGACCTGAGTGTAACGGGCGGTTCTGGATTTTCGATGTCT